CCAGCGTCCTGGTCTGTCAGAGGGTTCCCGTGCAGGGGACCCTGCAGGGCGTGCCCCGTCGAGGCCGCCTCCGCCGTGCCACCGTAGTGTCCACGGCTGGCGCGCGCGCGCGGCCTGCTTCCATTCCCTCGTTCGCTGACGCGCGCCTTCCGTGTTTTCTTGCCCCGCTGCCGCTCCCGGGCGCCGGGCGCCGGAGACCGCCGAGGTGCCGCGCGAGTGGCCGCCGAGCAAGGGGGGCGCGTGGCTGGGCCAGCGGGGTCTCGTATGGGGGGGCGGAGGGGGCGGGGCGGCGACGTGCCGCGCGATCGGCGGCCGATCAAAAAGAGAGCTTCGTGGCGGGGCGAGCGGGTTCGTGCGGGATGGCGACTGGGTGGGCGGGGGTGGGCAGGCGGAGTATGCCGTGATTGCGCTAGCGGGCTTGTTGCGAAGCCAAGCTGGGAGCCATAGTGCGAACACCGTGGGCCGCACAGCTTCGCGCCTGAACTCTCGGATCCTCCTCTTTCCACTTTTGTGCTTCTCCCTTCGCCCCCCTCCTCTCCCTTTCCCCCCTTAGCGTCGCCGCCGCCATCCTCCCCCGAGGAACAGGGGATTGGGGAGGAGGAGGAGGATGAGGAGGAGGAGGAGGAGGACGAGGAGGAGAGGGAGACGAATAGGGGGAGGACACGAATGAGGAGAGGATGAGAATGAAAAGGAGGGGGAGGAAGAGGGTAATGAACAGGACGATGACCAGTGTGAACGAAAGCCCGAGCAAGGAGTTCCCTCCCTTCGCTCGCCCGTGATGTTGCCGCATCGATTCACAGTTTGGCTACAGAAGGCGTTGCCGTACATGTCGATAACCGCATCTTAACACGGAGCGGCGGGAAGCTGTCCGGACTAACACGCGCGGCGCAATGGTGTGATGCACATGTTCGCCCAAGCTTACGGCACGAACGTGCACGGCGCGAAAGCGATTGCCACCACGACCCGATTTGGTTCAGAGGGTGTGGGTACAATTCAGGTGAAACGCCACGCCCGCCGTGCTGACACGCCTGATGGTTTGACGAGGAAGAGCTTCTCACAAGGAGGACGGGTGGAGGAGGACGGGGGAGGAGGAAAGAGAGGGGCTCGGAGAGAGGAGGAGGAGGAGGAGGAGGAGGAGGAGGAGGAGGAGGAGGAGGAGGAGGAGGAGATTGAGGAACAGGGGGCGAAGGGAATCATTTGGAGAAGGAGGAAGTGGAGAGAGTGGAGAATGAGGCAGAGGAGGACAGGAGGAAGAGGAAGAGGAGGAGGAGAGAGCAGAAAGGAGGAGGGGGGAGGATAGAGGGAGCAGGAGGAGCGAGGATTAATATGAGAGAAGGACGGGATGATCAGCAAGCAGTCGACGGAAGGAGGGGAAGAAAGAGGAGGATGAACGAGCAGGACGAGGGAGTAGCAGGCGGAGTGGAGGAGGAGGGGGGGAAGAAGAGACAAGTATTTGCAAGAGGAGGAAGAAAAGAAATGAGGAGGAAGTGCTTGACGCGCCGCAAAGGCTACGTCTCCTGGCCACAGCTCCACACCTCCTCAATCCGAAAGTTCACCTAAGTTGCCATAGCCCACCTGCCGCAGCAACGGCGCAGCAAGGAGTCGGTCGCCATGCAGTGTGATACTCGGCTGCCTGGTCATTGCTTGGCCCCAGGCGTGAGTTGACACAGAGTTCCCAAGATTACGTGGCACACGCCATCACATCTCACGGAAATGCACTCATCCCCCCACGACGGGTGCCTCCAGCGCTGCCGGAAACAGAGCCAAAGTAATCGTTCTGCTTTTCGACGCGTGGGGCGTGGGGGTATGGTCCTCTGATTAACGGGACACACTCACACTGTTTGTTTTGCGCCCAAGCGCACCAAATGGCCCTGGAAGCGGCGGGGCCTTGCTTTACCGTAATCTGATCTGTGAGTATGCAAACCGTAGCAGCATGCGTTTCCGAAACGAAGAAACACTTGCGCCAGAACCGGAACTGCAAAACAAAAAGGCGACGGAGCCAGAAAACAGCAGTGACGGAGTCGGAAGAGACACGGACAAAGCGGAGCCGAACAAATCAATGGTTTTGTCGCCCACTTGGCCATCTGAATCGCAAGCGATTTTCTCCCCCAACCCCCGACTTTTCGACAATCTATGAAGCCGCTCAGAAATGGAGGGAAACCCTGGGATGAACCCCAAGGGGGCGATTCGGGCGCATCCCTATCGAGGATGGACGCCCCCCCATCGTATATCCCAGGATTGGGCCCCAGATTGCTGCTCAATTCGAAAGCCGCACAAAGCCTGGGATGGGTCGACAGATCTCCTGTTTGAAAATCTCAGGAGAGTGAGATAAAAGGGCAGAGGAGGAGCATAGCTGAGAGAGGAGCGAAAGGATGGCATGAGCAGGAGGTACAGGAGGATGAGAGGAGGTGGAGGAGGAGCAAATGAGAATCTATGCGAATTGCGATGTTGACGACATTACAAGGATGAGGAGAGACAGGAAGGAGCATGAGGAGGTTGAGGAGGAGGAGGAGGCGGAGGATGAGGATGGAAGAGGAGGGTGAGAAAGCGGAGGAGTGGGAGGACGTGGAGGAGGAGGAGGCGGATGAGAAGGAGGAGGAGGAGGAGGAGTGGAAGAAGGACGAGGGTGGGAAGGTCAGGGGCAAGGAGGAGGGGGAGGGAGGAGGAGGAGGAGGAGCAGGAAGGAGGATTATGAAGGGATTGAGGAAGAGGAGGGGGAGGCGGAGAAGAGAGCAGGAGGGTGAGAAAGTAGGTGGTGGTGCAGGAGAAGGAAAGATGATGTGATGCAGAAGGAGGAAGAGGAGGAGGAGGAGGAGGAGGAGGAGGAGGAGGAGGAGGAGGAGGAGGAGGAGGAGGAGGAGGAAGGGGAAGGCAATGAGGAGGATGGGGAGGAAGGAGGGGCAGGAACAGAGACAAGGAGAAAGAGGAAGAGCAAGACGGAGATGAGCAGAGGTGAGAAGAAGCAGGAGGAGGAAGCGGATGATTCTGTTAGGGGCGGAAAACCTTGAGAAGCGGGAGGAGGAGGAGGAGCGGCAGGAGGAGGAGAGAGGAGGCAGGCAAGGTAGGCCCGCTCGCGCCACGTCTTATATCCGAACCTTTCACCCAGTCGTTCTACCCATCCAACCCGTCGGGAGTTTTGCGAGGGTCCAATGCAACTCAAAGTTTCCATTGCGTTGCATTCACTTGAACTCTCCAGCTGGGGTGTCCTAGACGATCTTGGCCTTCGAAAGGCAGTCGCAGGCCTTGACCCATCGTCTGCTGTACAATCGGCCAGGGTGGCGTTCCGTTGTGTGGAGAGGGAAGAGGACGATGAGAATGAAGAATATGGTGCACGCTGGTCGTTGAAAATAGGTATTTCTGGATTCCCAGATCCCAAGTCAAGCGCCTTCCTACTTCAAGAATCGGCATGCGTTTGCTGTGTTTTGTCATTCTCTGGGAGGCCCTGGACCCAATCCACGATATCCGCCTTCCTACTTCATGTGTCTGCCTGCTTCTTCCGACCGACGTGTAATGCAAAGGAGGAGGAGCAGGAGCGCACTGTCTACAAGAGAGGGGGGGCGGGCGACCAAGAGCAGGGCACGGCAGGACGCCCGTCCAGGGCGCGCGAATCGCGCGGCGGACCGCGCCCCTCGCCTGCCTCCTCGGCCGGAGCAGCGAGTGCACGCGGTGGATGGCGAGCATAAGGTTTGGGAGGTGGGGCCATGGTTTTCTCTGCGCGAGCTGTGGGGTCATCGCGACGTCTCAGATTGCAGAATTCGGCCCCGGGTGCACCCGGCCCACCGCCTGGGGCAAGATGAGTAGTGTCGGGGTTTCGGCACGGCCGAGTCTTATATCGTGGGCAGTGGGTCGCCGTGGAGGCGCAGCGTTTTCATCGAAGCACTGGAACTTCTGCCGCTCTCAGGTCACTTGACCGTAAGCTTGGCATGGGCAGCACGGAGAAGGTCACACTGACCCACGTGTTCGCCAATGTGAACCCCAGGAGAGGGGGGGTGGGGGAGAGCCGCGGGCTGGATTCGAGGTGTGGCAGGCGGTGCGCTTCGGGGCCCTGTCCAACAGCTGCGTGGTCAGGGCGGCCCAGGTTGTCACCCGCTCCTTGCACCCGCCCCGTCCATGAAGAAGGAGGGTCGAACTTTTGAAGTATCATTGTCTACGCCTCTGGGACGTTCTGGTTGAAACCTCACACGTGAAGAGATCGTGTTTGTCATCCGCTGAACCCGTAACGTCCGTTACGGGGTGGTCGCTCCCCCACCCCCCTTCCCCCACCCCCTTCCCCCACCCCGCCTCACACGGCGGGGGGGTCGCCCCCCCAGATAGACATCGTGTTCGTCATCCGTTGAACCCGTGACGTCCGTTACGGGGGAGTCGCCCCCCCACCCCCCTTCCCCACGTGGCGGTAACCGGCGGCAGCGAACGTACGGAAAGGTGGTCCCAACCCCACCTGCAGCAACATGCCGTGTGCACGGGCTGGTATGGTGCTGACAGGAATGGAAGGGCCTCCAGGCGCCTCCAGAGGTGGCCATCCTCGTCGTCGTCGTCGTCGTCGTCGTTCTCCTCTGCCTCCTCCCTCTCCTCGTCGTCCTCGTGGTCGTCGTCGCCGTCGTCGTCATCGTGGTTGGTGTCGTCGTCGTCGTCGTCGTCGTCGTCGTCGTCGTCGTCGTCGTCGTCGTCATCGCCATCTTCGTCGTGATCGTCGTCGTCGCTGTCGTGATCGCCCCCGCCCTCGTCGTCGTACCGTCGTAACCGTTACCGTCTTCGTCGCCGTCGTCGCCGTCGAAGAGAAGGCCTTGAAGGGCCAGCAGACCCTTCCAGAGGCAACCAGGGATCTCCTGAGATTTGCGGAGACCTTTGTAGACCTGAAGAGGCGGCCGTCGTCGTCGTCGTCGCCGTCGTCCGTGCCCATCCTGGCTCAAACCATGTTGGCTCAAGGCCCGGGCGCCTGGGGGCAGACAGGCTGCCGCCAGCTCCCCTCTGGCTGGGACCATCGCGGTGCCATCGGAGGCGGCGTGGCATCGGCGCTGGCGGCGCCAGCGGGCAGCGGCGCGGACCCTGGTGCGGGCGTGGCAAGGCGCGCCGTCGGCGCGGCAGCGGAGGCGCCTCGAGGAGGCGGCCGCGTTGCTGGAACGGCAGCACTGTTCGCAGGCGCCGCAGGTGCCCGCCTTCATCGGCAGGGGCACCTGCTGCGGAGGCTGCAGCGACTGGACGTGGGATGACGTTCTACGGAAGAGCAAAGGATGGTGTTCCTGCGGCATTTTCGTCGGCAGGCCTGCGCTGGGCCCGTGGGGCAGCCGCTCGCGTGGCTCCAGCGCGGGCGCAGAGGTGTTGGAGGCGCAGAGGCTGAGGATACCGCGATGGGGCGCGAGCTCGGCGGCGCGCGAGGTCCGACCCCCAACGGAGGCACGCGGCCCCGCGCAACGGGGAGGCGGCGGCAAAGGCCAAGGCGGCGGACACCTTCGCGAAACTCATGGCGGCCAGGGCCCAGGAGGGGGTGCGCTGGCAGGTGCTGCAGGCGAAGGAGGCGCGGATCAGGTCGACGAGGGCCCAGCTGGAGGCGCCGGAGCTGGAACGCGACCTCGCGGTCGACGAGCACACCTTGGCCAAGGCCCACCTGGAGAAGGTCAACACGGAATACTTGGAGGAGTCCACCAGCGAGGGCGGAGGAGGTCGACCGACAGGGCATGCAAGTGCGGAGAGGTTCCTGTGCTTCGGGGGCCGTCGGACCTCGCGGAGGAGCTCGGCGAGGCGGGCGACGCGGAAGCCGTGGCGCAGATGGAGAAGTTCATGGCCGAGCTGGATCGCTACGAGAAGGAGGGCAGGGGCACGCTGGAGGACGCCGGCCAGAAGAGGAAGGAGGCGGCGAGGGCGCGCGCTGAGCTCTATTAGCAGGCCACGCAGAAGGCCGCGAAGCTCAAGGGGGGTGCGGACCAGGCCAGGGCGCGCGCAAGGAGTGTCCCAAGGAAGAGACGAGTCGGCGAGGAGGCCACGGCAGCGGCTGCAACGGCGGTTGGCGCGGGCACGCAAAGGCCCATGGCAGGGGCGGCGGCGCCAGCGACTGCAGCTAAGGAGGGGCGATGGAGCTGGATGGGGAGACCAAGTTCTGACGAAAGGCGGCGGCTTTGGCAGAGGTTAAAGCAGACGCTGACCAGAAGCGGATAGGTTTGCAGGACACCGCGGGCGCGGGCAAGCGCAGCAAGCGCGGCAAGCAACGCGCGCGGCAAGGGGGGCGCGGGAGGGGGGCGCGCTGCAGGTCATGCTCCTTCTGGTGGGTAGCGTCACCATGGCGACGGGAAGCCCTGCGAGGTGCCAGGGGAGCTGCGGGCCGTCACGTTCGACCCAGTGGTTGAGCTGCAGCGAGCGAGCGGGCGCGTCGAAAGGGGCGCTGCTTGGGCCCGGGGGGCAGCCGCAGCTGGTGAGAGTTGGCAAGATGGGGGCGTGCCAGGAGCGCGGCGGCCACAAGTTCTGCGGCGGCAACGAGGAGGGCGACCCGCGGCAGCTCGCGGGCGCGCAGGGGTTCTCGGCACCCAAGCTCAGGATGGACAGAGGCTTCCAGGACGCGACGGACGAGTTCCTTGTCAAGGACGGCAACTTCGGCAAGGGCAGCAGGGGAAGGAGAGGGGGGTGGGGGGGTGGGCGGGCGAGGGGCGGGGGCGGGGCGGGCAAACGGCAGCGGGTCCACATCCTGAGGAAACCGCCGAGGTGGGGAACACCTCAGGTTCGCGGTCGCTGCGTTTTGCTGGGCAACATCCTGGGGGGGGGCCCGGCGGGGCACGCCCCAGGTTCGAAATCGCAGCGCGCTGGGCGCAGCAGAGGCGCAGCGGATGGCTGCAAGGCAGGAGGGGGAGAGGATGGGGGCCAGCCACAGGACACGAGCCCGCCTCCCTGCCCGCCGACGGCGGTGACGGACGGGGCCAGCTCCGCGGACTACCCGGGGAAGTGCGCGGGCAGGTGGGCCGCGTCTCTGGGCGAGGCCGAGGCGGGCGACGACGAATGGACGGAATGGTGCGCGGTCTACGCCGAGATAGCGCCGGTGGCCCCCGCCGACAGGAGTTGGGCCGCGGCGGCCCGCGGGGCACGCGGCGTCAGAAGCGCGACCGGGGGCGTCGGCAGGGGGGGGCCTGGGGGCGGGGGCGCGCGCCGAGGGGGGCGACCGCGGGCATCTTCGAGGCCCTGGACCTGGACCAGCAGGAGAAACCCGCGCGCGTTGTGGGGCTGTTCGCCACCACGCGCAAGCGGCTGCTCAACGAAATGAGGAGGGAGTTCAGGCGGCCGCTGGGGGGCAGGGGCCCGGGGCGAGGGGGGGCGGGGGCCGGGGTGGCGGCTGCCGACGCGGGCGGGTCGCTCGGCGCGGGGGGGGGGGGCGAGGGGGGCGGCTTGGGGGCGCAGCCCCGAGGCTCCTGCGCGGCGCCGCGCATTCGGGGGCCGCCTGGGCGGGATAACTTGCCCCGGCGACGGACGCAGGAGGCGGCCCTCGCTCCAGCCTGGAACGGAAGGGCAAAGCAGCCGCTGCGGCGTCGACGAGACCCTCAATCGAGGCGGCGAGGTCATGATTGAGGCGGCCAACGCCAACGGCGGGAGCTCGGCCGAGCGGCCGCTGGAGGAGGCGCAGGGAAAGAATTTTAACGTGCCCGAGTACGCACTGCTGCAGGAGCACAGGCGCATGTCCAAGCGGGCGCTGGACCACGCGAGGAAGTGGGCGAGGAAGAGGAGCTGGAAGGCGCGGTTAGGAGCAGCGCAGGCTCCATGAGAGAAGGCCTCGGAGCACAGCGGTGGGGCGCGGGCGCTGGCGACGACGGCGAGAGGCAGCAGAGGCGCAGACGTGAGCACCAGGAGTGCGGTGGCCACGCCGTTGGGCAGCTGCGGAAGTCGACCTTGGCTTGCGTGTCAGGGCGCTGATCGGCTCGGTCTACTCGGTCTACCTGGAGCACGCGGCGGGCCTCAAGGTTAAAAGGAAGCAGCTGGAGGAGGTGGCAATCGAGCTGAAGAGGTGGGGGGTCCCGCGGGCCATCGGCGGCGGTCGGAACATTGACCCTGGCTGGCTGGATGGGCGGGCCTGCAAGGCAGGAGGAACGCTGGCGCCCGGCGGCGACGCGACGGCGGGGGGCGAGGAGCTCGACATCTGCATTGCGGCGAACGGGCTGGGGCCCCTGGTGACGGAGGTGAAGCTGCAGGGGGGGGGCTAGCGCAGCCCTCGCCCGTCTGCGGGACAACGCCTCGGACGGGGTCAGCGGGCGCGCGAGTGTCGGCGCTCCGCGAGCCCAGGGAGGTGGAGCTCACGCCGCCGCCCCTCTTGAAAGAGGCGCCGGTGCAGAAGCTGGCCTGGGAAGCTGAGGGGGCCGATGGGGGCGCGCTGGGAGTTGTTCGCGGAGGTGAAGGACTACCTGCGTGAGCTACGCCAGATGGTCGAAGTGAGAATGGGGAGAGCTGACGTTCCGAAGTTCGCGCGGCAGGGCCTGGGGGCAGAGTGGCAGCGAGAGCCGAGGAAGCGGGCCGGCGCAGAGACCAACGGGCAGGCGGACGCAGACAGGGCGGCCGCATTGGCCAGGCCCACAGCGGCGCGGGGCCGCGCGGGGGCCCGCGCGAGGATAGCCGAAAGGAGGGCCCAGGAAGATCTGCAGAAGGAGGAGGAAGAGGCAGGCAGCTTGCCGAAGGAGGGCCTGCAGGCTGGAGGCTCGGTGCAGGCGCTGCCGACCACGCCAGAGGACTCGAAGGAGGAGCAGCGAGGGGCGATCGAGGCGGCGCAGCAGGAGAGGGCCACGAGGAACGAAGAAGACATCGAGGAGGCGAACGCAATCTAGAGGAGGGGCGCGACGGGGGCGACAACCCGGCGAGGGGCGGCGCCCCGCAGGCAGGCGCGGCGGCCGCGGGCGCGGCGCACTCGCGGCCCGGGCGCCGCGCCGGGCCACGGGGGGCAGGATGAGAGAGGCGCGCCCCAACGACAGGAGGAGAGGTCATGCGCTGGGGCCGATTAGCAGATCAGGGGCGCGCTCGAGACGCGCCCGAGAAGCTCGGGGCTTGGCTGGGACAAACTGCGCCCGGGGCTACAAGGGCGGCTTCCCGACAGCTGCAGCGATAGGCTGGCGGACGTATTCAACGCGCGGGAGGCGAAAGCGAAGCCCATGGCAATTTGGAGCACGGCGCCAGTGTTCTAGGCGACGCCAGAAGTCAGCAGCGAAAGAAGGACATGCACGCACGTGAATCCACGCTGGTTTCGAGAGTTCGTATTGCGCGAATGTTCGCGCCGCTCGGCCGGTCTCGCGGGCCAAGGGGCCGCGTGCGTGCGAGCAGTTGGGCGCGCGCGTCCTTTGTGGGCCCCCTAAGAAGGGGGGGGCGCGGCCGATCCACATGCCGGCATTCGCCGCGGGGTTGCGGGGCAAGCTCGGGCAACCGACGGTCGGTCGCCACGCGGGGGCAGGAGCTGCCGCGCAAGGAGTATTTCTGGGGTGTCGCGGACACGCCGTGCGACGCTGCGGGAAAGATCTCCAACCTGGTGGCGCGCCATGCGAGGGGGGCTGGTTTCGAGCGCGGGGCGGGGCTCGTGGGCCTAGCCGAGTTCGGCGAGCACTCGTCTCACGATGTGCTCAGACAGGAGGGCGGCGAGGTGGGCCCCCCCATGGAGCTGCCAGCGCTGCAGTGCGTCAGGCACAGGATGCCGAGGAGGGCCAAGTAGGGGAGACATCGTGAGTGAGGAGTTGGGAGCGAACGGGGCGCCGGCGGCAGGGTGTTCGCGCGCGACGGGGCTCGCCGAGGTCACGGTGCACAGGGCGCTCGCCACGCCGGCAAATGCGCGCCCCCTGGACAGGTACCAGAGCGCGGTGGACGACGTGATGCTGCAGGCGGCGGGAAAAGCGGAGCAGGTCAGGCAGTAGCTCCGGAAGGCGCCCGCCCGTGCGATCGACGGCTTCGAGGCGCTGGGCCCGGCTGCGTCGTGGGGCAAAACCAAGCACTTGACCAGCGATGCGGACGGTGCGAAGCTGATGCAGGAGGAGCTGGCCCAGGCGGTCTTGAGGCCGGAGAGGGCGACGCCAGGTCGGAACCTAAGGCGCGACTCGGGCGGCGGTCGGTGGAGGCGCGCAGGAGAGCGGGGCCAGAAAATGGCGAAGGCAGCGACGGCAGCGGCGAGGGTGCAGGTGCCGAGGGCCGCAGGCGCAGAGGAGCAGTCCGGCGGCCACGACGCCTCCTCCAGGAGGCCACGAGGCGGGAGGCCGCAGATGCCAGAGGTCAGCCTCCGAGGAGGCTGAGGCGCCCTGACAGACGCTCGGCGCGGGCCCGAGAGACTCGGCCCGCGCCGCAGTTCGCAACTTCGTCGTCGTCTTCGTCGTCCTCGTCGTCGTCGTCCTCGCCCTCGTCTTCGTCCTTGTCGTCGTTGTCGTTTCATAAGGCTTCGAAGGGCCTCCAGACGACGCCTCCAGATGCCTCCGGGAACCTCCTGAGGCGTCAGGGAAATATTCGGGGCCTTCAGATGAGGCCGTCGTCGTTGCCGTCGTTGCCGTCGTCGGCGTTGTCGTCGTCGTCGTCGTCGCCGTCCTCGTTTTCGTCGTCGTCGTTTGTCGTTTTTGTCGTCGTCGTCACCGTCGTCGTCGTCATCCTTGCCCTCGTTCTTTTCATGTCGTCGTCGTTGCCCTCGTCGTCGCCGTCGTCGTCGCCGTCGTTGTCGCCGTCGTCGTCTTTATCGTCGTCGTCGTCGGTCTTGCTCTCGGTCGCTCAGTCGTTGTCGTCGTCATCATTATCGTCGTCGTTGTCGCCACCGTTGTCGTCGTTGTCCTCGGCCCTGTCCTGGTCGTCGTTGTCGTCGTCGTGGGCGGCGTCGTCGTGGTCGTCGTCGATGTCGCCGTCGTCATCCGCATCCTCGGCCTCGTCCTCGTCTTTGTCTTCGTCTTCGTCGCTGTCGTAGTCCTCGTTCGTCCCCCTCGTCCTCGTCGTCGTCGTTGTCGCCGAGGGCCTCGAAGGGCCTTAGACGCCTCCAGAGTAAACTTCCAGATGCCTTCAACTGGGGCCGTCGTTGTCGTCGTCGTCGTCGTTGTCGACGAGGTCACCGCCGCCGCCGCCGTCGTCGTCGTCGTCGTCGTCATCTTCGGCATCGGCGCCGGCTTCGTCGTCGTCATCGTCTTCGTCATCGTCGTCGCCATCGTCGTCGTCATCGTCCCCGTCTTCGCCGTCCTCTTTTCCTCGTCGCCGCCGTCCTCGTCGTCGTGGTCGTCTCCGTCTCCGTCCTAGTCCCCGTCGTCCTCGTCGTCGTCGTCGTCGTTGCCGTCGTCTTCGTCCGGCGTCTGGGCCACCTGCCCCCGTGGGGCCCGACCACGTCACCCCTACCCCCCTTCACGGGGGCCCGCCCCCCCCCCCCCCCGACGGACGTTTAGGGGGCGGGGGGCGGGGGGGAAAACATTCCCGTACGGTAGGTTTGCGTCGTGTCGACCAGCGGCGACCCCAGCGCGGGCGTTCAAGGTTGAACGCCGCCGGCGACCCAGAATCGATCGATGTGGAACGATCGGACGTTGCGGCAGCGGCCGATCGTTCAAGGTTGAACGATCCCTGCGGTGTCAAAAACCAACGCTGGGGTCGGCACGACACGAACCTGCCGTGCTATGCTCCTCTCCTTGCCGCTGCTTCTGTCGCCCTGGTGCAGCCGCTGGTTGGTCGTACGCCAGGAACTCTCGACACCACGGTCGCTGCCAACCGTGTCACACCGCTTGTGTGACCGAACCGTTTTCTCACGCATTCCATCGCCCGTTTCTCCGAGACATTGGATGCTCACCCCACGCAGTCGCTGCATGCGCCCATTCCCCAAGCACCCCTGAGCAAATGCACCGCGCCCACTGCGAGCCACAGACCAGCGATTGCCCAAGCTATTTGACAGGGACGTTGGTCTTCATTTGAGCTTTGGCACTGGGCACTTCAGAGGAGGAGGAGGATGGGGCGTTTGCAGTGGGCACTCCACTTCCACTCCATTCGCCCGCCCCATTCGTGGGGCCATTATGTTGGTTTCTCCGCCCGGCGCGCACAGGTGGAGGCGGTGCCGAATATGGCGCTGATATGGGCAAAGGCCAGGTGCAGACGGGGAGGGATTCAACGAGCGAAGGAGGATGACGAGGGAAGACGAGAAAAGCTTAGGAGCGTGAGGAGGATGAGCAGAAGTAGGAGGAGGAGAAGGAGGAGGAGGAGGAGGAGGAGGGCATGGAAAGCAGGAAGAAGAGAGAGAGAGAGAGAGACGTCAGCGGCGACCGGAGCAGGAGGGGAAGGAGGACTAGGAGGAGGAGCAGGAGGAGGAGGAGGAGGAGGAGAGAGGACGGGGCGGGAGGAGGGGTAGATGAGAGGAGGGGGCATAGGGGAATGGATGCAGAAGGAGCGGCGGGGATGATGGGGGAACAGGGTACAGGGACCGGGGCCGCAGGAGAGGGATTAATGGAGGGAGGGAGGATGGAAGTAGAGAAAAGGAGGAGGATGAGGAGGGGGAGCTGTCTTGTGCGAGGCTGCAGGTCTGTTCGGCGACCGCCATGCGGGTCGCAGCGACGTGCCACGACATGTGCAGGAGTAGGAGGCCAGGATATGGGTAAACGCAAGTATAAGACGGAACGGAATCCGATTCGAGAAGAGGATGATGACGAGGGTGGGGCCAGTGTGGAGGAGGTGGAGAAAGAGGAGGAGGAGGAGGAGGAGGAGGAGGAGGAGGAGGAGTTGGAGGAGGAGGTTGGGCAGTGGATGGGGGGAGGACAGTCTATCTTACAGCAAGATGCATTATCGTATGTGGCTACGGGATCCCCGTGCGCAGTGGAGAATAAGTTTGACGCAATGCAGATGGCTTCGGAGCACTTCGCGATTGAATGTGTGATGAACACGGTCGCGGTCGATCGCGGCTGCAAAAGGTGCACAGTATGTCTTGACCCGCTGTCCGTCTCATTGATGCTACGTTTGCATCCAGCGTGGTTTCAGAGGGAGAGGCAGGGGAGAAGAGCAAGGATGATCGGGAGAAGGAGAAGGAGGCAGGGACGAGGCCCAGGGGACAGCGGAGGATCCATAAGAGCAGGAGAAGGATCGGCAGTCCAGGGGCCACGGAGGATGATAAGCCTGAGGTGGTGTAGGAGGGCAAGGAGATGAGGACGCGGAGGAGGGGGACGGAAGATACGGAGGGAGGAGAAGAGACAAGCAAGAGTGCGTCCAAGTTGCCCGAACGCCAACGCTAGAAAAGGAAGAGGTGGTGGTTGGATGAAGGAGGGGGAGGGTGGGCGGGAAAGGGAGGGGGGCCCCTGAGGGAGTATTGACAAGCTAGGTGCGCTCGCGTCATCTCTGACGTCCTACCCCTCCCTCCCATCCCTTACCATGGCGTAGATACCCTCTCTATTCGCACAGTCGGATGTCGAGCAGAGCAATGATCGCGAGAGGGTACGCGATGCATGGTAGAGCACTGCATGGCATGGCGTGCAAGAGCACGGCAGAGTGTCGCATGCCATAGCATGGCGTGGCATTGCGCAGTGAAGCATTGCATCACAAATCATTGCAACGCAAAGCATAGCATCGCACAACGGCAAATAACGCAACACCGCACAGCATATCATGGCATGGCGCCGCGTTCCTTGGACGGTTAGTGGACCGTCTTCGAGAGGTCTGGGCCGGTCTGGAGTCGTGGCTCCATGCTCCTTGGGCTCCCCGAAAAGCTCCACACACGGCGGGGCTGATGGAGAGCACCCGCTGGCTCTGCTTCCAACATCGCCTTCTCAAAGCAGAAACTGGGCTCTCGCTCGATGTTTCCTGAAAGCGACGGCGCCCCAAAGTGGGTGTGGCTTCTGCGGCCCAACAAATCAACGAATCGACACCGAATGTGTAGTCACGTCTGATGGTTTTTTTTTGTGGGGGCATTTCCTAGATTTGGGGGCCTGCCTGGAAGGACCGAAAACGCCCGCGCTGCAGTGGGAGCACGACTTGGAACAACCAGAGGCGCAGAAATGGGGCCATCGCTTCAGCGGGAGTTACATTTTGGAAACAGAACCAAGCGAAAATCCATTTCCCAGGAATCTCGTGTGTAAAGAACAATACGCGGAGGGGGGCTGGATATCTTCTAGACGTCATCCGGGAAGAGAGGAGAGTAGTTTTCATATTGTGTAATGGTGGACAGGCGAGGGAGGGTGCCCAAGCGGGGTGGCAGAGGGGAGCAGGAGGAGCAGGCGGAGGAGGAGGAGGAGGAGGAGGAGGAGGAGGAGGATCACCAGGGAGACGCAGCAGCAGCAACAGGAGACAGAGGACGAGGAGGAGGAGGAGGAGGAGGAAGAGGAAGCGGAGGTGCATGAGGAGGAGGACGAGGACCAGCAGACCAGGGGACGCCGGCTGTATGGGAGATGAGAGGAGCGAGCGCTCGAAGCAAGAGCGTGCGTCTCCTCCACAATTGCTCCGTCCGAATGCTATTGTCCTCTCTCCCACAAAGATTGCTGGGGAGTAACCCGTCCCCTCCGCGTATTGTTGTTCCACACCGCATTTCATTAGTTGGCCTTTCACAGTTCTGTTTGATCGGAGCTCTTTGGTGTGTTAAAATGGCGTTGTCGCTGCAGCGTTGGCCTCATATTCAGACCGGAGCTTTGCTCCCGTCGTTCAGAATGCGCTCTCGCCTCAGGGGGTCACTTTTCTGGATCCGAGTCCTTCTTCATCGTTATCGCCCCCTTCCCCTCCTCGTCCTTTCCCTGGTCCTCCTGCCCTCCCCGCTCGTTCCACTCCAGTTCCCGCTGCTACTATTCGTCCTCCTCCTCCTCCTTTTCCTCCTGCTCATCCTCCTGCACATCCGCCTCCTCCCCTCTTCCGATGGGAAGGGATGGGTGCGAGGGATAGGATGACAGATATGGTGCGAGCGCACCCATCTTGTCCCTTCCTCCTCTCCCGCCTTCCCTTTCCGCTGTATCTCTTTTCTCTGTTCCCCCCCCCCCACCCCCACTGCCTTTCCATGTTCTCCCAATGTTCCCTTCCCGCCCCTGCCCATTCCTCTCATCCCTCCCCCTCTCCTGGGGAGCAGGAGAGGGAGGGGCGAGGCGAAGAGGAGCTGGAAGCCCAGATTTCGACATCATGGACCCATCTCGGCCCATTCCTTGGGACCGGTTTTTCATCCCCGCTCGTTCTTGTCACTGTCCCGGGGCTCTGGCGAGGCCCCCCGAGGCCGAACACTAAGGACAAAAAATGCCGTCGCTGTGTTTTGTTATGACCAGAAGGGCGTCCGGCAGAGGAGCAGGACGCCTTCTCACCCCTGGTGCGGCGGCGGGCGCCCTGCCTCGGCGCCAGCGTGGCAGGTCCTCCACCGCAAGTCCGCCACCCAGTCCGCGCCAGACGGCTGGCCTGTCGGACCTGCCAGGCCCGGGGGCAGGAGTAGGAGGAGGGCGAGGACGAGGAGAAGGAGAAGGAGGCACGAGGAAGAGAAGAGGAAGAGGAGGAGGAGGAGGAGGAGGAGGAGGAGGAGGAGGAGGAGGAGGAGGAGGAGGAGGGGGAGAAGGAGAAGGGTTGGAGGAGGAGGAGGAGGAGGAGGAGGAGGAGGAGGAAGGGTGGTAAGACTTAGGGCTGCGCACAGACAGCCCCGCCCCAGGTATTCCCAGCTGGCCTCAGAGCAGGCCGCACGAGTACACTTCGGCGGTCTCAACACCCCAGCGCCGCCCCCTGCGCTGCCCCCTGGGGCGCTCTGCGCTCCCGCCCCCCTGGGCGCTCCGCGCCCCAGGGCTGTTTGCGTGCAACCCGAAGCCTTACCAGGAACGGAGTCTTACCACCCCTCTTCCTCCTCCTCCTCCTTCTTCCTCCTCCTCCTTCTCGTGTCTTCTTCTCCTTCTCCTCGTCCTCGCCTTCCCTCTCCCGTCCCTGGGCCAAGGAGGAGGAAGAGGGGGAGGAGGAAGAGGAGGAAGAGGAGGAGGATGAGGAGGAGGGCGAGGCCAAGGAGAAGGAAATCTAGACTTGTGGCGACTCGGGAGCCTCGCGTCAGAAGATCTGCCTACAGTTTCGGCCTCCTGGGGGCCGCTTCTGAGCCCCAGGACCGTCCAAAATGATGCCAGCTGAAAGCCAGTCCTGGGGATAGGGTCGAGAGCTCCGTGGGCTATCGACGTGTGTGTGATGAAGAGGGGCAAAAACATAATAGAAAATCATGAGGTTGACTTGCAGACTGACCCGGCTTTGTTGAGTATGCGTGGTTTGCTCGCGCGCTTGCGCTGTGTTCCGATGTGCTCCCATACGCATCATGATGTGCCGCGCTTGTAAGAATGTGTACTGCGGGCGAGCTCTGTGTGTGTGCTATCAGGGTACATGCGCACTGCAAATCACACTTATGTTTGTACGTGGTGGCTGCCGTGTTGTTTGTGATGTTGCGCTGATATTGCTGATTACGTATGCCATGCGTATGTATCTCGTGTCAGGCATATGTTTCTTGTCATGATGCATGCGTGAACACGGAAAGCTCACGAGGACCCCATGCCCAATATTCCCTTGCACTCCACCAGCCTACTGGGGTGGCCTTGTCGCATGCGATCAAGCATTGAGCAGAGCTCTTGGGTGTTAGGACATGTTGATCTGTTGGGCCCTTCGAGGGCCCCCAGAAACCGAAAATAGCGACGATTTCCCCGTCGTGTTTTTTTTCACTACGCGAGGATGTCATGGGAGATGCCCGAAGGTTTGTATTGGAAGTTGTCATGGTGTGCGAGCTGGTGCTGAGATACTCTACTCACATCGAGTTGGCAGGGTGCACCGGGATACCGAGGAGCCAGCGAGGGCTTTCGGGCGAGGGAGCCAGAGTTCGAGGCAGAACGAGGGCGGTCAGAGTAGAGAAGAGGAGGAGGGACTCAGGGAGGAGGGGTTAGGAGGAGGCGCTGAGGAGGATCGAATCAGAAACAAAACACATCAAGAAACAACTCGACGGTCCGCGCGGATTTCGTGGATCGGCTTTGGACCGCCCCCTGGCGGCGCCTCCGTCGGCGCCCCTGGCGCGCTCTGCGCACCAGGGAAGCTGGGCCCAGCGCCGATCCAAGAGCAATCCGCGCCGACCTCCGAAAGTCTATGCTTATAACACGGCCTCTCTTTACAGGTGAGGAGGAGCGTCGCGCGCACACGTGGTGGGGAGGCCTCGCAAGCCGTTCAAGGATATGGTCTGCGCCGTCATGTACTCCGTGGACACTGACGCCAGGACCGCTCTGCAGCCGCCCTCCCAGCTCTCCCGTGGGAGCTGTGGCCACCTCGGGCTTCCAGGCGTGCCTTTCTTGGGTGCTCCGAGTGCAGTTATCATCGCAGCTGGTGTCGTTGCGTGGTATCCAACCCCGAACCAAGCCTCCAAATCGGTTTGGAGGTCGCCGCGGCGATCGCGGCGGCCACACATCGGGGCAAGGTGTTTGTCAAGGAGTGGCATGCCCCTTCCCAGCTTGCCCGCTCTGCGATGTAGACGCGGCTCAGAATTATCCATAGAGTGGCAGAGAGTTGTTAGTTGATGTCCAGCATGGACAGTCATGTTTCTTTGGTTAGGGGTCGATAATCACCCAACAATGGTGCCGTGAGGCGACAGTGTTTTTGGATCGCTGCTTCGGGCTGGGCTGTACAGCGCTGCATAGTGCAGCACCGGCCTTCACACCTCTGGATCAGGGTTGCGGATCAGCTTCGCGATCTCATTTCGCTCTGCTCGTGATGCGAACGCCACGCACGCGGGCTAACAGGGACAGCATCGAAGACTGCCAATATGGCCACGCTGCAGAAGTCCTGGGTGCTGCCTCGGGGAAGAGATGAGGTGCGGAGCTTCGGAAGGGCGGAAGGGAGCAGAGCGGTTCGAGGCTCGGAGGGCGCCGCAACTGTTCACCCGCACCGGTCGTGGCCGAGTCGGACCTGGGTCCAGGATAAGTGCTAATGGTGGGGGCGTTCGTCTTTGGCACTGGCACGTGCACCCGAGGGCCCAGGCGGTCCTGGCACTCCACGGGAGGTCGAGCACTGTCGGCGCAGGAAGGGCGTCCTTCTTTTTGCACGCTGGCCGGACTCTGGGCACCGATGGTGGTACGTCTTCCTGCTCCTACGGCCCTTCTTCGAAGAGGCGGGGGGGGTTCACGAGGCTTCAGGCTATGGATGAGTGCTTATCTGATGAGGGTGGCGGCGATACCCATGGCCAGTCCACGATTGGAGTTCCATCGGCTTCCAGACCCAGGGTTCCTTATGCAGTGGCTCCTTGTTCAGTGAACTCACCGTGCCGTGCGTCGCGCCGCAGAGTCGCCTCTCTGGTGTGTAGGCCGCTCTGCCTCTGAGGAGGCGGAGGCGGCGAGTCGCGGGCAGCGCGTCGCGCTTTTTTTGCGCCGTATTCGGTGCTGCCCAGAGCCTTCATCCGCAGTCCAACAGTGATAGAGAACATTACCTCACCGTGCGCCTTCCTGGCCAGGCCAGGAGGGCGTGGACCACGATCCTGTGCCCAGGGTGCGGGCCTGGTCGGGACTGGTGCAGGTGCACCCAGAGATCCAATGTATTAACATCCAAGACGGAGGTTTTTCGCAATTCTCGGCCTCTAGGGGCCCTCGCCGAGCCTCGGGACCGTCAAGAAACGGCTCGGGATGGAACACGAGTCTTGGGGAATGGGTCGAGACTTCCAGGGACCACGCATTGAAAAAATCACGACATCGGATCTCTGGGCATCGTTGGCGTCCTCCCAGATACTCCAATATTCCATTGCCACTGTGGTTTCGGCGGGAGGCGTCTGATGGATGCACTGACCCCGTAGCCTCGGGCATCCTCGGGGCCCGCACGACTTCGGGTGAGCCCCAAGTCTGGGCGGTTTATTGTGAAGGCCTCATGGCCGGCGCTGCGGACCCTGAAGGCGGGACCTCTCCCGGGGCCTCCCCGGGGCCCCTCCCGGGACCCCCGGGCTGGGACCGGGGGCAGGGCCAGGGTCGGGACCAGGGCCGGCCCCCTCCCACAGGGGGAAGCCCCCCCTGTCCCTCCTACCTGTCCACGGGTGGGGCCACCCCCTTGCGACCCCCGGGGGGCAGCAGTAACCTGACCCGCCCCCCCTCCCTATCACCGTGCCCTATTGATATACACCCGCTCCCCCAGGCGGCTGGCAGGCAACCAGGAACAATGCCGACCCCATGCTCACAGCCCCCCAACCGTCAAGTTTACAAAACCAATACAAACACACACTCTGCCTCCAAACCCGGAGCATGCGCAACTAACCCGATGTGGATCCGTTATACCATCCCTGTCAAAAACAATACCAAGTACATTCGGGGCAAAGTCTTGAGCCCTGCGAGCACTTTGTAGTTTTGTTGATAGGCACAGCGGGGGTGGCAGCATATTGCCTGCTGTGCGCAGGGCCACCATCCTTTTCAAAAGCCATACAAAACCACCTCGCGGCTAATTCTGGATTATGCGCGGCCAACCCGCGATCACTGTCAAGTGGCTTTTGATAGGGACGGCGGGGGTGGTGGCGTATGGCCTGCTGCGCGCAGGTCCAAACACCAAACACAATGATGGGCATTGGTTTTCGACAAGGATGATGGGGACCGACATGTTTCCCGATGTGTGCTGTCAGGTGCGCAGGCGCTTCTTTTCACACCCTTCACGTACCCCGAACGTGGCGCACCTGGCCCGCCTGTGGAGCACGTGGCGTATGCGGCACGCCTGGCGCATGTGGAGCACGTGGCGTATGTGGCGCACCAGGCGTGCCTGGTACGCTCGTGCCCCACGCGCATGGCATGCGTGGCGCACTTCGCCCCAGCGTCGCGCACAGGGGATCGGTTTTGGTCCCCAGTAGCTGCCCACCCAAAGGCGACCGCTGAACATGCTGAGGCTGGGGTGCTACTTATGTTTTGGAGGGCGGGTGGGAGTGAGCCAGACGGCTTGCCATCTAGGAGGGAAAAGAAGAGAATCGTCGCAATTAAGTCGATTCCCTCTCTTTTCTCTGTTTTCCCGGGACTGGCGACGACGATGGCGACGACGACGACGACGACGAGGACGACGGCAACGACGACGACGGCGACGACGACGACGACGACGACGGCGGCGGCGGCGGCGACAGCAGCGTCTCACACACGCCGAGGGTCGGCGGATTTGAAAATTGGAAGCAAGAGTTGTAGGACGAGGACGAGCAGGACGAGAAGCCCGAGGAGGAGGAGGAGGAGGAAGGGGGAAGGAGGGCGAGAAGGAAGACAGTGAGATCGCGGAAGAGAGCGGTGGGGAGGAATGGAGGGGGAAGGATGGCGGGGATGAAGACAACGAGATCGCGGATGAGAACAATCGGGGAGGGGCTGGATTGCTTCCAAGAAAGATAGGTTCATTTTTAGGGAGGAGGGGGAGTAGTTTTCGTACGTTGCGATATTGTCTCAGGTACCCTCGGCACATCTGTTTTCAAGTCCCGCCAACGTGCCAGCACAGCACTCTGTGTGGCGACTGATCGAGGAGCGCGCAGGAAACCGTAATCATGTGACACGCTCTCCCGCATCGTGTCGGAGTGTCTCTCCTCGTCATCGTTGTCTGTCCCCCTTCCTCTTCTTCCCTTCCCTTCTCTTGGGCCCCCTCGGATGCATGCTGCGGGTGTCGTCTTGGGGGATCCTGGGGGTTCCTCGGGTCGTCCTAGGGGGGGGGGCTCTTGGGCAGTCGAGCGCCTTCGGAGTCCGTCTTAGGGGGCTTCTGTGGGACGTCATGGGCCCCCTTGGCGCCCTGTGGGGTCGTTTTGCAGTCCCTTGGGATGTTCCGGGGCCTCACTGGGAAGCCCTGGGCCCCTTGGGATATTTTGAGAGCATATTGGACCGTTCTGTGGTCCCCTTAGGAGCTCTCTGGGTTGCCTTCCAGCCAAATTGGAGGCCTATGGGGCCGTCCTGGCCTCACGGAAGTCCGAAACGGGTGAGGAGGGCGCGAGCATGTTCCAAAAGCAACCGTCAGCTAAGGTTGTGGAGCGTTTCGGGCCCAGTGGGGGCCCTCTTGGAGTCCTCTTGGGCTGTCTTGGGGCCCTCGTGAGCCATCTTAAGTTCACCTCTTGGACCGTCTCGGGGCGATCTCGGGCCGTATTGGAGGCAGATTGGGCCCTCGTGGCGGCCTTGGCTGGCCTTCCTCGGCCTCCCATCAGGCAGCTGCGCAGGGGGCCGCAACTGCCTGGAGCCAAACTTGGCTCCAGACCCTTCTCCCGCTCCCGGTCCTCCTCCTCCTCTTGCTCCTCTCTCCCCCCTGCCCACACGTCCGCTGTCCCGTTCGCCCGCCTGCGAGCATGTCGCCGCCCCCCTGGAGCCCCAGGAACGACCAGGACGTGGAGAGGAACATCACCGCCGCCACCCTGGTGGCCGAGGTGCCGACGCCGTCCCGCCTTCGGCTCGCTCCTTGTGCTCTTTGCCGCTGCTGCTGTTGGTGCTGATGATGGTGTTGCATCTGCTGTGAGCCGCGTTCTCCTCCGCCTGCTCCTCTTCATAGTTCGCATCTGTCTCGCTCGTGCTGCTGCTCCTTTTCTTGTTCCTCCTTCTCCTCCTCCATCTTTCCTCCGTTCCTCTTCCCTCCTCTCCTTCTGTCTCCCCCTCCTCCGCCTCCTCATCCCTCATCTTCCGTTGTTCTACTTTCTAACCTTGTCATCATCCTCTTTCTCTCTCCTCCGCCCTATCCTCACCCTTCTCGTTCCCACTCGCTGCATCCTCCCCCTCCTTTTCCTTGTCATCCTCATCCATCTCGTCCTCCCCCATGTTCTACCCAAAAAAACATGCTGCTCTGCAGTCGTGACGAGGCGGCTCGAGACGAATGTGTGGAATGTCAGGAGGGGCGTGACAGCGGGAGAGTGTTGCGCTAGGCGAAAAGGGCTGGAGAGGGGGGCAATGGTGCGCAAGCTGGCCTGGACAGGAGAGCATGCCATTGGGGGAGTGTCTGGGCGGAGAAAGGCGGATGAGGAGGTGGGAGCCAGGAGGGATGGGGACGATTATGAATTATGTGTATGTTGAAATTGCTGGTGGTGATGGCGACGACGACGACGACGGTGACGACGACGATGATGGTGATGATGAGGATGAGGATGAGGATGAGGATGAGGATGATGAGGAGGATATGGATGATGATGATGCTGACGATGGTGATGATGATGATGATGATGATGATGATGGTGGTGATGATGCTGGTGGTGATGGTGATGGTGGTGGTGGTGGTGATGAGCATGAAGGTGGAGGTGAAGGTGATGATGATGAAGGTGATGATGATGTTGGTGTTGATGATGGTAACGGGGTTCATACCCAGCTGTCTGCGGCAAACCCCTCCACCGCGCCAGCGACGCAGCGCAGCAGGAGTGAGGTTGGTTTGAAGGCCCGCTCTAGTTCCGTGCCTTTTTTGAACTGGCGAGGTCTTGGACATCCCTTCCTTGTCCGCAGCTTCGTTCGCCTTTCCCTTCCCCCTTCGTCGTCCATTCCCCTCTGCAAGGCTTCGTGGGAGCTTCCTTAGGGCTTCTTCAGGCCTCTTGCCCTCTCAAGAAAGAAGGCCTCCTGGGGGCCCGGAAGGGATCATCGCTGGTCTCGGGGCTGTCCTGGGCGCGATGGTTTCACACAGCTCTATCGAATAGCCTCGGTTGAACCATCTTTGAGGCTCTGAGGGCCGTCTTGGAGCCCTGTGACGCCAAGATACGGAGTTCTTTGGCAGTTTTGAGCCTGTCTTGGGGCACTCTTGGGCATTCTTGCGATTTTTTCGGGTATCTGAAAGTTGCTCGAGGCGATCTGAATCTGAGAGAACAGCCTCAGAAGTAAACGACACCATCTTTAGTTATTCTGCGCGGGTGCAGAGAACCTGTAACCGCCACCCAGCGCACGGGGCGCCTACGACGCGCCCGTGGGAGCCCACCCAGCGAAAACTCAGAACCGCATGCACTTACAGAAGGAAAAAACCCTAGTGCAAGCACTGCGGAAGCATCATTCCTGGATCCTCGGCCCCCCCTCCCTTCCTCTCCCTCCCTTCCTAGACCCTCCATCCCTCCCTAGTCCATCCCGTCCTGCTTGACACCCCCTATCCGTCGTTCCTACGGTCAGGGACTCTGGCTTAGCGTGTCGCGCCGCCGGTTCTAGCCCACCACGCTTCGGCGCGACTCGACGACCGCGTCCCAATTCCGAGGCGCCAACGTCCCGAGCCTCTCCTAGGCCCCCGCCACGCCGAGCGGAGCGACGCGTCATGCGCTTGCGAGGTGTAGCGCATCGCAGGGGCCGCCGCCACGACGCGCTAAGCAGACGTTCTCGACCGTAGACACTCCGCTCTCGCCGACCCCCCAAAAGTCTCGACCCATACCCAATCGAGTAGTTTTGTCGACGGTCCCAAGGCCCGGGAAAGGCTCCCAGAGGCTGACAACAGCGAACCACCTTCCGTCGTGATTTGGCAATGACTCGCGCTCCGCTCTCTGCCGCTGCTGCTGGCACTGCGGCGACGCAGGAGATCGAGTTCTTGGGCGGGCGGGCGATCCTCGAGAACATCTTCGCGAGATCCCCGCCAGCCCCTCAGCGTTGTGACGGCCCGCCAGGACGGCCGACCGGAGGCAGAGTTGAACATCGAGGGGAAGGGGGAGGAGGAAAGAGAAGGAGCAGGAGGAGGACGAGGAGGACAAGGAGGAGAAGGGGCAGGGAAGGAAGGCATGAGGAGGAGGAGGAGGAGCAGGAGGACGAGGAGGAGGAGGAGGAGGAGGAGGAGGAGGAGGAGGAAGAGAAGGACCAGTGTAAACCCAAGAGTCACCAACGATGTTGGAGTAAACCCTCCCTCAAAGCTCCCTTGTCAGAGGCCCCTACAAGGTTTCATTTCCACCGAGGGAACTGAATCCTTGGAAGACAGCATTTGAAGACCCTGAAGCTTGCCAAAGTATTATTCTCGGGACTCCAACGCCACGGATCAACCTGACTGTTGCGTCTTGAAGATCCTGAATCGTGCCAGAACGCCAGTCCTGGAACCTGAACACCGCGAATCAACGTCACTGTTGCACCCTCATAATCCTGAATCGCTCCCAAACACTTCTGGTACGTTGACCATGGGAATACATGTGCGCGGCGCAAAGGCGAGAGCAACGCTTTGAAAAGGAGCCGCCCTCAATCCGCGAAATTCTTGCTCATTCTTTTAAAGAGTGTGCGCGGCGCTAAAGCGAGAGCTACGCTTTGAAGACCACCCACCCTCCATCTGTGAAACAGTTGCCAATGTTCAAGTTTGAGGGTCGTACATGGTGGGGAAGTCTCCGGCGAAACGCCCGGCCCTCCCTTTCGACCGGCCTCGGGGTGCGGCAGGGAGGAGCCAGATGTTTATAAGGAGCATGAATGGAGGAGGAGGAGGAGGAGGAGGAGGAGGAGGAGGAGGAGGAGGAGGAAAGGGGGGAGGGGAGAAGTTGAAAGAGGGAACCTCCCTCCTGCTCGCCCTCCCCCGCCGCCCGAGGGCCTCCTCCACTTTCGGCCCCTCGGAGGAGGCCCGCCTCTCTCCGAGAGGACCCAGATCTCCGACGGGATGTCTCCTGGTTTTTCGTCCTGGTTCTCCGACGAGCGGTCATGAAAAGACCACAGAATCGGGGAAACGTAAGACTCGAGTGCGCTGGAACTCGGGTTCGCCGGCGCGTTTTGATGAGCCTGTGCTGGATTTTGCGGTCCCGTTGCCGTCGGATGTTTACCGCGGGAGCTCGCGTCAAATTTTAGATCTCGTCACTTTCATGGTGGCCCCGTCGGGCCAACCCGAGTCCCCCGAATCTGAGTTTTACGTCTCCCCGACAGAGGGTTCTACGAGTGGTAATAAAATGACCGCAGGGGGAGTCCCACAGGGGGGACGGGGAGCCTGAGTACGCCTGGTCCGGCAGCCGTTTCGCTTGAGACTTCCTCCCAATGTATTAGGCATTTGCGCCTTCGCCTCAATTCACATTTTTGGTCTGGAAGGCCACGATCCTTGGTCACAAAAGCATGTTTCGGTGCAAACCATCGTGCGTTTCCCAGGAGTCCTTAGAAATACCCAGGCATACACGCTTCAACTAGCCGACCTCCTACTCCTCGACCCGCCTCGTTACCTTTGCTGCCATTACGGTGCCCTGCTGGGGTGATTTCAATTCCCTCGATTTCGGCTTCTGGGGCCGCCTATCGGGCCCCAGGACCATCAATCATGGATCCAGGACTTCCCCTTGGAGAAGTGGGCGGGAGCTCCTTGGGCCGCGGATGGAACAAACTCACATCGGAGAATGTCTGCGGATGCGGGCCACAAGGTCTGAACTCAGCATCCCCTGACCGATCCCCACCCCTGTTCCTCCCGAGGATTGAGGCTGCTGGATCGAGGCTCGAGGAGGTTTTTGGACCTTCGGGCTCATCTGGGGGGCGCTGCGGTGCTCCGCGGGCCCCCATCTCCTCCAGGAACTGGCGACTCAGGAGGGAAAGAAACACACAGACACAATTAATCGTCGACTCCCAGGAAAATATGGGAAGTGGGGGGGAGGACAAAAAAGAACATTTGGAAAATTGCTGGGAATCCTGCTATTTGTGTGTATTTATTTGTGTGTGTCCCAGGGCCCCTTCAGCGACCCCCCCAGTGCTGGACCCTCCACCCTTTTGGCATTGCCCGGCCGCGGGTGCAGGCCGCCAGCTCGTGGGCTCGTGGCCCTGTCGGGGCTCCAGAGACGGGGGTCAATGCCAACGGGGGTCAGTCAGAGCGCCGGATCTTGCAGGATCCTGCAGGGCCAGGGGTGCTGACCCGGGCTTGGGCGCAGGATCCCGCAGGATCTTGCAGGATCCTGCAAGGCCTGACCGACCCAGGTCTGGACTGACCCGGGTCAGCAGATCCCCGACCGAGCCCCTTGTCCGCCCCTCCTCAGAGGAGGGAGCGGCACCGATGCCGCTGGGCCTCATGGGAGGCCCTTGTCGCCACGGCTGGATTCTCTGCGAAATTCTGGCCAGGCCGCACCCTGGGGAGTAGCGGTATCGGTATTCTGTGATTTTTCATTTCCCGCGCGAGCGAAGGGCTTTCCGGCTGATCTGGTTCTATATCGATTTTGGCCGACCCGATCCGAATCGACTCCGATATCCCAACAAAACGATGCGGCCCCATGCTTGCATGGCGCTGTTGTGCATCTTGTCGCCGATCAGATTCGATTTTGTTTTCGCCCCGATGCAGCCCGGTCCAGCGCAAGTTTCGATCCGATCCGATTTCCCAGTGCGCGCGAATTGTGACGAGTGCAAGGGTTGGCTGTGGTGGTTTGGCCCTCTCGTCCTCATCATCCTCGTTCCCCTCCCATTCATCCTTTTCCTGCTCCGCTCCCTCCTGAGCCCTTGTCGTCCCTCTCCCCCCCCCCAGCCCAGCAAGGTCCTCAATTGCTGGCCCCCTCGGCACCACCGACTCCAGCATCATCAACATAGACCAGGCGAGTTGCTGATACTCTGTGACAGCCCCCCCTCCGCCCATCTGTGGTCCTCATCCTCCCCCTCCTTCGTGACCGCCGTCGCCATTGTGGCCCGAGGGGGGGGCGGAGGAGGCCGGAGATGTGCGAAGACGCTCGGGGTGGGAGGCCGAGGCCACGACGACGAGACGAACACACAGGGCACCGATCTCTATGCACACAGGTGTGCAGTCGAACAAGTGTATTTCTTGCCCATTGTCCACCTCCTCCTTCCCCGTGTGCACCTCAATAACTCAAACAGGGGCCCAGTTGCACATTGCCCGACGGACATTGGTTGCCTCGAGCTATTGGCTGGAATGGGGCATCCAAGGTGCAGCGAGGGATTGACCGAACAGTTAACGGAATAAAGCATATCTGGCCTGTCAGAACGCGCTTTGCGGACCGCCTGGTTGAAGACATTTCCATCCGACGTGGTGCGACTAGCGGAGTGCACCGACCAGGCGCTGATTCGGTCTGATCGAAAGACGCGCCTGTTCTGGTGGTATTTGGCTTGTTAACTGCAGAAGCATTGTCTGCGCGCGGCCTGTATCAGAGTGATGGGGCCGAACGGTTTGCTGCGGTTGGGGATCCCTGATGCTTCCTTATCGGACGAGGGCGGCGGTGAGATGCATGGCCAGGTTTCGGTTGGTGTTCCGCCGGCTTCCAGACCCCAGATTCCGGATCCAACGGTTCCTTCAACTCGGCGCTGGCCGCCGCCCGGCGCGGGGCTCGCGAGCCCGCGCCAGGCGGCCCCTTCCGCGGCGCGGGACGGCAGCCCCGCCCTGGCTCGCCGCTGGCGTGCCAGCGCGGCCGCGGCGCTCGGCCGCCGAGCACCGAGCCCAGGCCGGGCGGGCGCACGCGCGGGCGGCCCGGGCGCTGCTCCACGCCCTCGGCGCCCTGAGGCACCCGGGGGTGCCGCCCCACGTTCGTTGGCGCGGCACCTGAGGGGGCGCTGGGTGCGGCGGCAAGCTGGCGCTGTTCCGCCGCCTGGTGCAGACGACGGAGATCTTCGTGATGATGCCAATGGCGCTGGGGGCCCTGGCGTGGGCGCCGCTAGCTGTGGCGGCTGATGGCGCGCCTGCAGGCGGCTCGGCGGAGCATCGGCACCCATGGAGGGTCTTGTGCCGCCGCGCGTGTCGGCCTCTCCAGCGGCTGCGTCGGGGGCAGCGGCTGCGGAGGCCCGCGTGTGCGGCGTGGCGCGTTCTCTGGATCCCGAGCCCACGGGAGGCAGGCGGAGTGCTGTGCCGTCCTCGTCGCTCGGCCCCCGCGAGGCTGGCGCTCCCCATGGTTCAGGACTGGAGCGGGCCGCGGGCCTAGCCAGAGGCGGTGGGCAGGTTCCTGCTGCCTCGTCGCCGAGACCAACCTAGGGTGAAGTTCGCGTGCGGCAAGCCTTCTTCGATATCGTGCGGGCTCTCCAGCGGCAGCTCCGCGCGCCCATGCGTCTCAGCCCTGCCTCGTTAGAGCTTATGGGGGAAATTTGCCCTGTGGAGGCCGTGGGGGTGGTCACGCAGCTGCTCGTGTTCAATCAGCAGGGCTCGAGAGCCGACCGGTGGATAGTGAATGTCGCCAGTTCCTTGGGACGGCCCTCAGGCAGCTGGAGCGCATAGTTGCTTGTCCTCTCGTTGATGCTTGGGCCAGGCCTCCTGTTTCTGCCAGTGTACGCGATTGCGACTTGCCAATTTAAGGCGTTTTTGGCAATTCCACTCTCCGCGCGCTTCCTGGCCTGGCCAGGCTCCGCAAGTGTTCGTGTTGAGTGTGGTCCTGAGAATATGTGTTTTCAAGCTGGACTCGCTGCCCTAGCGGCGAGGTCGCGGGACGGAGCATGAATTTGTTCCCATGCTCGCAAGTGCCTGAATTCAATTGTGCAGGCGGAGAGATCAGAAAACTGCCTCTTCCGTGGTGTCCCTGGGTGCACGTCCCGCCCTCGCGACCTCTTGGGAGGTGAGTCATATTTTCCCACGTCCTCAGTTCTTATGTTCAAGGTGGCTCCTAGGTGGGCCTCAGAGGTTTTCGAGACGGTTCAGCAGGCCCCCAAGGGTTCCCAAGACGGGCCCCACGCCAGACCCAAGACGGCTCCAGGACGGTCCAGGATGGCCCCAAGATGCCTTCAGACGGCCCGGCCCCAACGGGCCCGAGGGGGCCCCGCCCGGGATGTCATCATCAATGTGTTCGGACCGGTCCCCGACAAAATCGGAAGCATTGAATAGCATACTGCGTTTTCAAATTTGGTGGGGTTTGCCCGTGTCTCGTAAGGCTCGAAGACATTGGGAACACTTTGTGGTTTCAATATGTTTGCATGCGGTTGTGGTCCAGTTCAATCATTGAGTGTCAACCTCAAGGGTTAGCAATTGCCTCTGCATGCTTAAGGGCGGTCCAAGGTGGACTCGCGAGAGGCTCTGAGAGACCCCATTGAACCACCTCCAAGACGGTATCCCTTCCAGGTCGACAGTCCCTTCCTGCTCGCCTGCCCCATCGGCAAACGATGTATGAATCCAAACCAGGTCGACCGTTGCAAACGATTCTGCCCCATCCTGCATTTTCTCATACTATCTCAGCCAGGTCGGTATCGTCTCCCAGGACAAACAGTACCATGCGCGCGCGGCCGTTTATTTTCAGCAACAAAAGTATCTAGCCACATATGCAACAAAGAACACACCAACGCGCACACGACAAAGGCACGCCAAACAGATCAGTCTTGCCAGCGATTCGACATACACGCATCCAACATGTCATGTTTCCCACCAGTGGCATTGCAGATGTGTTGCCCTCGCACACTTGCTGGCATCATCGGGGGACCACATGAGTTCAGCATTTTCGTCCAGATACTGGCTCTCATCCCGCCACGTTGTGCATTTGTGCTGACCTAGCATGCGCCTCGCCAGCATCGGCGTCGTCACTAGCCTTGCGGCCGTCATCGCTGCCATCACCACCACCATTGTTCTTATCATCGTTGTTGCCGCCGTTGTTGGCGTCATCATGGTATCGCGCGCACCGATCCACAGTAACATGCCCGCGCGCCATCGTGGCCTTTTGAGACGAGGTGGGAAGTCCCCATGGGTAAGCGCCATCGTGGCCGCATCGGCTATGCCAAACCAGTTGGCTGCTCGGCGCGTGAGGTCGCGATCCCCAGCGTAGTTGTAGAGGTGCGCCAACCAGTGCCAAACAGTCACTCCAGTCGCGGCCGCATTGGCATTGCAAGACACGTTACGGGCGGGGATGATTGGATGTTTGCGCGGGCAGTGTAGAATTAGCATGCGTTTGATTTGGCTTGCGTGTTTACACCACCTAGATTGCACCGCGCAGCTGAAACCACGCAGCTCCTACCACCTTTGCTGCACTGCGTAGCTCGCACGGCATAGTTTACAGCTCGTTGGTTGCACCACGTTTGTTGCGCCACGTAGCTTCCGCTGCACCGTTCACAGAATAGGTGGCGCACCATAGATCACACCACAGCGTTTCCACGTTAACAATACAACACAGCTTCCCTATAGACAAGTGGTCCCTGCCGCACCACCAGATGTGCCATTAGGGCTGTCCGGGCATTTCGTTTGAGATTGCCTCGCCTTTTGCGCCGTTGCAGTTTCGGGTTATCCAGCGGTCGCACAAGTCGAGGGCGATTCGTGGTCATCTCGCTTTTTGTCGCCGCGCACACCCGTCGTAAACATTTCCATCATCCACGCATCTCAGTGAGAGGTCGTTTTCCAAATGGGGTTGTCGCCCTGGCGCCTCGCGCGCTCGCGCTTGACAATTTTAACAAACACGCGGGTGGAGTGTTTTTTCTCACTCAGGAGCTACATGGGTTGAGCTATGTGTTTTGTGGCTTCGTTTTGTAATTTCTGCTACACCTATATCCATATGCGCATATATATATACACACCACCGAAGTTCGCATTGTTTGTCACCGTTGACCCCAGCGACTGTGCCATTGCATTGTAGATGTGTATGCGATGTGTCACGTGTTACGTGGTGCATTGTATGTGGTGTTAGTTGCGCGGTGCAAGCCATGCGGTCCATGATGTGTGGTGCAAGCTATGTGGTGCAAGTAATGCGATGCAGCCTAATGGTGTAAGCTATGTGGTGTTGGGTGTGTGGTGTAAGCTATCGGATGTAGCCCGTCTGATGCAAAGCACGAAGTGTAGAGTATGCGGTGCAAGCTGTGTGGTGCAAGTTGGTGCAAGCTGTGTGGTGTAAGCTGTGTGGTGTAAGCCATGTGGAACATCTATGTGGTCGCCCACGGGGCGCCCACGGATGGCCACATGCGGGCATTAGGCGATTCGTTGCCAGACCCACCAAGCGCACAAGGCGCCCTCGGGCGACAACGTGGCGAACATTGGGCACATCCATCCAGCACACAGGGCGCCCACGAGGCGGCAAAGGACGTCAACGTGGCGAAGCTTCGGCATTCCCACGAGGCGGCCACGGGCGGCGACGTGGCGAAACCTCGGCACTCCCATGACGCGCCCACTGGCGGCCACGGGCGGCAACGTGGCGAAACCTCGGCATGCCCACGAGGCGGCCATTGGCGGCCACGGGCTGCAATGTGGCGAAATTTCAGCATGCCCATGCAGCACACGGTGCGCCCACGAGCCGGCCACGGGCCGCCACGGGCAGCAACGTGGCGAAACCTCGGCGCACCCACGAGCCGCCCACGAGCCGCAGCGGGTGGCAACGCACTGAAGCTTCGCACACCCATCCAACCCTTAGAGGACCGAAGTGATACCCCCTACGTGCAGTCTATGTTGGGCAAGTGTTGTGGAGTATGCTAATGTGGTGCACGCTATATGGCCCCAGGCATATGTGGTGTAAGATGCGCCTAGTATGTGCAACGTATCCAGTGCAAGCTATGTGGTGCAAGCTGCGTAGTGCAACCCATGCGGTGTGAGGTAGTGGGCGCAAGCTGCGTGGTGCAATCAGGCAACTGTTCAAGCGCTGTGAGGTGCAAGCTATGCGGCCGCCGAGCGCACGAGGCGCTCACGAGGCGCCCACGGGCGCCCACGATCGAGCACAGGGCCCAGGCGAAGCCTCGGTTGACCAACCCAGCGCACGAGGCGTCCACGGGCGGGCACCAGGCGAAATTTGTGGAGGGCAACAGCTGCACGGATGGAGGGCGGCTCCTTTTCAAAATGAGGTTCCCGCTTGAGGCGTCCTGCGGTTTGGCGGCCAGAAGTTTGACATTGTGCACTTGCTACCCGGGTGGAGGTATAGGGCGGTTCTGCTTTCAAAGCGGAATCGTCGCTGGACATTGCCTTGAGCCTCTTGGTTCCACCTCTTCGCATCCCTTGCAGCCATAAGAATGTTTGGCAGCTTCTTTCCAGAACGAGGCTCCCGCCTGAACTATAAATCCTGCGGTCGCATGGGGCGCAAGGAGGCGCTTCCCGCGCGGACGAAAGAGGACCCGTAGGGACTTGTGGGGTTGGGGACTTGGAACTGGAGGGTTGATCGCAGCATCGTTGATACGTCCTATGTTTATTCACGACGTTTCTCGTTCATCGCCCACCCATTCCAGTTCTCGCCGAGGGCTCTGAAAAGGGTCAACAATGGGTCCAAGAAGGGCCCGAGGCTGCCCAGGCGGGCCTCTGGACAGCTCAAGCGCGAGCATCCCCATGGTGGGACCGAGCCCCGTTCGCATTTGCATCGAAAACGGGTCCGAATCTGGGCTGGGTTTGGCTCCGACTTGGGGGTCTCAGTTGTGCTTAGAATTAGTTAAGCTTGATTTTGAAAACGCAGCATGTTTGATACAGCTTGGATTTACTCAAGCACCTTGAGCTATTCCGCCGACCCCCAGCGGAGTAGAGACGTCCAGGGCGGTCGGTGGGATATGTTTGAGCTGGAGTGGTTGAGTGTCTGTTTGTTCACGCTCGCGCGGATGGAGGAGAATGAGGAGGAGGAGGAGGAGGAGGAGGAGGAGGAGGAGGCGAAGGAGGAGGAGCGGAGGTGATACATCCTGGGTTTATTCTGGCTCCTCCTCCAGGGTCCTCCCTGCCCTTCGCGGCGGCTTTCTCGACTCGCGGCCGTGACGTGTCCGCGGTCTCCGAGTTTTGGGGAGGCCTGGGCCCGGAGGCAGGAGGTTCCCCCGCCATCCTCACGAGGAGCAGCAGGACAGGGCAAGGACGAGGCCCAGGCAGATGGGATGGTGGTGGTGAGGAGGAGGGAGAGGAGGAGGAGGAGGAGGAGGAGGAGGAGGAGGAGGAGGAGGAG